AGGCCAGGCGTGTGCCTGGTGTGGCTTGGTGCACGGGCAGCACCAAAACATGGCCTAACTCTCTCATTTTTTATCCAAATTAAATCAAATTTTTTTCTAAAAATTTTAGTAGAGTTTCCCCTTCATTTTAACACTCCCTAAAGCATAGAAACACCTGTTCTGCAACTTAAACAAATTTAAATTCACCAAAATTCATAAAACATCTTGAAACCACAAATTCATCCAATACCACAAACTGGACCAACCTCAGATTTTAGGTTATAACTCCCAAATCAAATTGAACTTGCAAAAACTGTGTTCATGGAATTTATTTAACATATAAATGAGCCTGCCCTGAGAAATTCAGATCAAAAGAAGCTTTCTAGCCTAGGTAACCATGTACAAACCTGAACCGGTTTTGAAATAGTCCTGTTTCTGGACAGCTTCCACAAACGAACCTCAAACCACCACTTTCCTATTGAATTTGATTATACCCTTTTATGAAGATCCTCCTGACATATAAGAGACCGTGTGGTTCAAATATTATAGTCGAATTCAAAGGAAAACCCCCTGAACAGAATGGAACAATACTGAATACCTAAACAGTGGCTTACCTTAGCCCAGTTTGAGTTTTCTTGCAATTAAGCACCCAAAACTTACTAAACCACCAAAGATTTCTCTTATCCTCACTTGAGGCTTAATGGAAATGGAGTTTTTCAGAGGTTGATAGTCAGACTTAGAGTTTTTAGGGCTGATAGCTTAAGCTACTTGCTTAATAAACTTTTTAAACAACCTAGCAACCACTTTAAGTACTTCACCATGAAGTACTCTCACCTAAGCTGCCCTTGTGTCAAATTTCCAGCAGCTAACCTCTTTCTTTAAAGTGTAAAACACTTATACAAAAGCCCAAGTACACCTTAAGTCACAACCTATCATTTTTCTTACCAAATCAAGCGTATGTGCTCATACCGATTTCTTGTATGTTATAGATGTCATCTACAAATCTTAAACCATTCATAATCAAAACTTTACACTAATATTTCTAAAACCTTCCATACATTATAAAACATACCCTAATGAACTTCTAAAGCAATAATAACTGCCGAAAACCCTAATCTAGGCTTGAAAGCCCATACGCTGAAAATTGAATCAAACTAGGGTTTTTAAAGTAGTCCCACCCTATAATTCATGTGGAACTCAAGTCAGCCCTTCGTAATAAATCTTATCCACTTATATACTCATTATAAAATGTCCCTTACTATATTATGGTCTATTCACCCAACAAAACGCATAGTAAACCTTCTCGATACATCTAAAGTCAACCATTTTTACTCATTTTTTTATACTTTTAAAATATTTGAGCTCCGTTACCTATCAAGTTCCATATGAAATCATCCTTAAACTTCTTTTTCTTCATTCCCACTTACCGGATTCACCTTCAAGCAAACCTGTAACTTATGAATACAATATACAAATTTAACACTAAATGCACATTATCAACCTGATCATGCACCTTGATGACAGATAAAACATATAACTCATATGCATATAAATGTAAAATCATGCAATGCATTGGCCAACTAGTATGTGAGAAATCTAGGCATCACATATACAGCGAGTATCCTCGGGGGCAGAACCCGGAACCCAGACTGGGCCCTACGGTGGTGATAAGGCTTGTGTTGCGGTTGTGTAAGTAATTTATAACACTAAATGCACATTATTAACCTGGCTGTTGTGTTGGAACTAAATATCTTTATTTACTTGCTTATTCATTTATTTACTTGTTTATAAAGTTTATTTAAAATTACATCCTACTAGGCCTTCTGCTCACGTTTTATTTTGTTTTTATAAATATTAAACCCCTCACAGGTGATGCTAGAAGCAGCATTGAGTAGCTGAAGTAGTTGCTGTTGGGAATAGTGTCCTAGAAGCATGAGATGTAATAGGATATTTATTATTTATTTAATAAAATAGTTTATTCATTATTTTATGTGCATATATTTATGAATATTTTATGAATATCAATGAAAATTCCATGATTATTTATGTAACCTTAAATATTGTAT